ATGTTGTGCTCAGTAGTGAGGGAGGGAGGGGTAAAGCAAAGCAGGCCACAAACCAAATGAGAGACAAGTGAGATTGAAACAGGAACCAGATGACAAATAAGGAAGCCTGAAATCATGCGATAGAAGGGGAATAAAGGAGAACATGTATAACCCTTCACGAAAACATGCTATGCTCTGTGTTCCTGTTTGCATTGCCTTAGTTTTAGCTGTATCATTTCATTCCTGGAGCATATAGCATAAGGCGACCTGATAACTTTTAATGGGAATATGGAGGGTGTAATAATGGATTTATGTTCCAATAGGAAAAAGCTCAGGAACTTGTGTATCAAATGGTGAACTCCCTAACCAGTTTGGGAAGAATGCAACAGGCCTATATATGGACACACATATCTATTAGGCTCTAGCTTTTATGACATAATGACATTGCAAATTCTATACAGGGCAAATGTGGAATAGCCAAAGTGGGAGATGGAAGGTAGACACTCAATTGACAGTTCTTCTGGAATTTAAGGGGCAGAGGAGGATTGGTTTGGTTTGTTGTTGGTTTGGGGGTTTTAAATCATTTTAAGAAGGTACGTTGAAAGTTTTTAATACCTGATTAGGGATTAATCTGTAATCTATACATTCACTGTGTACTTTAACTGCTACCTGAATGCCAAGTCTTGAAAGGATTTCAAACATGCAACAAAATCCAAGGGATTCTTCTCATATCCAAGATTCATGAGCCTCTGGTAATAAAAGAAACATCCTGAAATAAGTTTCTTATATTAATTATTTTTAATATTCATTTTGGAAGCTAAATAACCATATCAGAAAGTCAAGTTCTAAACTTGCAGGCCTGGTTCATAATCTGTTTATCAAGATGTCGAATACACTACTATGAATATTCATTTCAGATCCTAGATCAGTTAAGGTTGAATTTATTTTATTATTTTTCACTGAAAGACAAGGACCAGAAAGGAAATCTCATGTATTACATTAGTGAAGGTGGGTCAGGGTATCAGGCTACCAGTTCTCACTTCTCTAACTTGTCTGTCCCATCCACCTACATGTGAGATGTCGTGATGTGTTCTGCTCCTAATGTGCCTCACTTGTGCTTGTGTCAAATACGCAAGATCAGAAATGGGACTTGATAAAAATTGTTCCTAACTAGGAGATGGCTGCCATGTATTTCTGTGTAAAACTACTTTGTCTGGAGGACGTCTGGCTTGCCCAGCAGTGGTGACTGGGGAGTGCACAGGGCCAGGCACTCTTCTTGTGAGTCACAGGAAAATCTAGGGTCCCTGCCATCGTCATCTGCCAGAAGCAAAATTACTACTTGAAAAACCACTTTTCTTCTGCTATGTTACCATATTTATGATTCTAAGAGGCACTTAAGTTTTGTATATTTTCATTCAAAGGAAGGAGGATAACAATAAAATGTTCCTGTGATGGAGCTGTTGGCTTGGAGTATGTTCCCAGCGTGCTGGTCTTCTGAACGAGCAGCCAGGGAATGTCTGCTTGTGCTCACTGCTGCAATGGGAAATGACTACAGGGAGTCAGACTGATAAGAGACGTGAGCTATGTAATTTGCAGGTAAATGACTCTAATTACTGCTGTGTATTATGGTGGGATGCTCATGCTTTGGTCTGCAAACAGAATTTTCCCTTTATTATGTATTTGTTTCTGTGTGAATATATGTTTGTTTTGGAAATTAAGGCGAAGTGTTAGGAGGATTATAGTTAGTAGTTGTACAGGAAATTGTGTGTGGAGAATAGGATGGACTGTTGTAGGAAGAAGAGGAGCCATGTCATAGCATATGTGAAGAATGTAAGTTATACCAAATGAGTGAGTTTAAGGCTGGCTTGAGAATAGAAGAGGTGAGATACACGAGTATTTGATGCCACTATCAATTTGAAGATGACCACTGCTATCTGGAGATAAAGAGCTTTTCAGTTCTATGAGGACATAGGGTTTGGTCTGCGTTTAGTAATAGGAGCTGCGATCACGGGAGTGGGTGGAGGTGAGCTTCTGGCTAATTAGTCAGCTCTGTGGTTGTGTAGTTTGCAAATGAGTAAGTTATGGGAGTAGAAAGAAATATGATAGTACAATGAAAGAAGGTTGTTGTAGTTTTGTTCTAATACTTAAGTCTAAGAACTTGCTTGAAGATATATTGTCCTCTGGCAGACAGTTCATATGTATTGCAACGGCTCAGGAAGTAGAATAGCAAGATACATATATATAAGTATATACATACATACATATATATATACACATACATACGTACTAGATCCCAACATTCATGGCCAAGACGCACAACTGCTTCAACCAGAGTAGATCAGCTGGATTTATAAATACAGCTGCATCCTGCAGATGAACAGCAGGAGTCCTGTGTTTCTAGACCCCAGACTTCTTTGGAACTTGGTATTAACCTTTGCTTTACACATGGACGTCACAAAGTTCACAGAACTTAATAAATTCCCTTCAACTAAATGCAACAAATCATAGGAGTTTACAGTTGTATAAATTTGTAAAAAGGCTCACTTCTGTACACATCCCCTATCTCCAGGTGCCTCATGGTCTTAAGAAACACACCTACATCTCAGTACACTTGGTTGTGACAAACTTTCTTTCTCCTTCCTTGTTGGAGCTTAGAGATTATCGTAGGGTATATGTTAAACCACTCCTGGTTTATTAGTAGAGAAATACGAACCCAACTCTAGTTTAAGAAGGAACCTCCTCATCATTTTTACTGTGGATTTAATTCTACAGTGGAGTTAGTTCAATCTTCTGGAGGCAAAATGTTGTTCTGTGAGAGTGCAAGTGGTCAATTTCGGGCAAAAGTAGGCTGTTCTGAAGTGATTTTTCCTCTTCCAGTTTCGCTCCAACTGCTTTGTATCTCCTTTATAATAGCCCTTTTCGCTTTAAAATCTCACAGGTCTCCCCAGCTTTGATACTGCTCATTGATATCAGAGGATCCAAAATATTCTGAGGAGTTGTAATAGGTTAGCTGAATGGTGGTTTACTTCTACTTATTGTTTAAACCAAATGAAACCTCTGCTGTTTAAAAACAAATCATGTCCCGGTGTGGAGTATTGAGCAGCAATGCCTGTGATGGAGCTCTCCTACTGCCCTCTCCCTCATAGCATCCCCAGTGTTTGGTTTATAGAGCTAAATGGAGCACGTCAGTGGGGCCAGACCGATTGCCAGCGACTTGTTTACCTGAGGAGTCCAGGTCACCCCTGTGCCACGCATAAACATGCAGCAGGGACTTGGCTGTTGGGGTGCTGCACCCCTCGGAACAATTTGCCTGGAGGTTTTTCTAAGAATGGAGACACATTTAAATGGGGCGGGTATTGAACGCTGCAGTGCCCCAGGCTACATCCTGCACTACATTTCAGCAGCACCCCACAAACTAACCCAACAACAACAGCAAGGGACTAGAAGCTGTGGCCATTAGGCAGCAGCACGTGGTTGCCTCTGGAAGGGCCCCACACCAGCCTCTCCTCCTGAGGTCTTTGAAGGCTAAGCTCTGTGAACATGAGATTGTTTTAATCCAGTCATTAGGGTGAACATAAATTCTATTTTGGCCAACACGGAACCATTTTTAAGAGGAACCCATGAGGGTTGAGGGAGACAATCTGTAATGAAATCAAATGTTAAGATTCCCCAACTCCAAGGTGGCAAAGGGAAAGTGGGGATGACCTTTTCAAGCCTGCCAGCCACGGTACTGCCCTGGCTGTGATGGACACAAGCTTTCCCACCTCACGTAAAATACTCCACTGAGGCAGTGAAAATGATTCCTTCATCAAGTACTTGTACCTGGCATGGTACTGAGTACTAGTCTCCGCTGCAGTTATTATTCAAGTACTATTCTATTTGGCTGGATTTCATCTGAGTTCGCTAATGATTTCAGCTGAAACAAAACCATACTTTGGGGGGAATAAATAAAAACATTCTTCCAGCTTTTTTTTTTTTTAATTTCACAGATTTTTTGTGAAGCTCATGAAACTCAAGAGGATATTGAGTACTTGTAGAGTGAAAACAAGTTAGAGTGTCCTTGCTAGGATACTGATATTTCAGTTCATCACTGATAAACATTACAAAGCCAGTTGTGTGGGAGGGAGAAAGGGCGAGGAAGGGTGACTAGGACTTGGGGGCAGAAGGGACTAGCAGTTTTTCAGGAAATGTTTTGGTTGTAATGGAAACTTATTACTCTGCCATGAAATACAAACATTGTGTGTTGTCAAGAAGTAAGAGCAGAGGGAAAATAAAGCACGGCCTCAGCTAGCAGCAAACACGTAATACAAACAGTCTGGGAAGCCAGGTTTGTGGTTACACGGGGACTATAAACCCTTGAACTAGCCAAACTGAATAGCTTTCAGTCACACTGTCAGCTACAGCCTGATTACAGGGTTAGTCTAGCACTAATCTGCAGTTAATTAAAGTTAAATTCAGATGTCAGTTTATCAGATGCTGTGTGTTTATACTTCATACTCCCAAAGCATTTGGAGAAGGCGTTATTGCCTCAAATCTCAGGAATAAGTAATCCAAAGCAGAAGAGAAAAAAAATACAGTGCTGTTACCAGCAAATCTCAAAAGAAGGGCTTAAATAAAGGAAAATCTTTCTTTATTCACCTTGAACTTCAATCTCATTTCCGAGCAGATTAGTGTGTGTCTTATTAAGGCTGCCAGAACAGTAACTATGGAAATGCAGGGCTCTTGCTGCAGCACCTGAATGCAGTTCTAAATTTCTGAAAATACACTGATAGTACCTCCTGTGAGAAGTGAAAAATCTTTACCAAAGCGATATGCCTCCAGGACGGACTTGAATAGCACAACAATGGAGTTTTTCCCGTTAAAACAATATTCCCACAGAATTTTGACCCATACCTATGCCACCTGCATACAAAACCCACAGAGTAAGCAATTCTTTACCTCCTTCTCCCGCCCGGTGCAAAGGCTTAGACCATGCTACCGTTAAGCTACAGTTTCTGCTTTGCAAGCTGAGAATCACTTACCTAGGAGATCTCGTTCCTGCAGGACTGCAGTGAACGCCAGTGCCCAGAGGAAAAGCATGGTTTGAGGCTCTCCAAGCTCTGCCCTAGTCCTGGTGCAGAGCCCCGCAGCCTCCCTCCCCGGCGTCGCATCGACTCCTCCGTCCAGCCGTTCGTGCTGAGGTTTAGCCAGAGTTAGGAGGAAATATGCCCAGCCTGAGCCAAGATTCTTGAGCTGTTCTCTTCTGCTTCCCTCCTTTTAAAAAACACCCTTCCAGCTCCACACACGAAGGCCAGTTTACCCAGCCAAGCTGGCGGTGGTCCAAGCTCCCCAAAGGTTGTTTTTTTGGTTGTTTTTTTTTTTTTTCCCCTTGTATTTATTTATGCAGTCTACAACTGGAATGTGCTGAAGAGCTCCGAATCCTGTAAAAATGGCAAGTGGGGCAAGAAAAGGAAGGGAGAGAGGAGGAGGAAGGGGTGCTGGATGTTTCTTTCCCTGGAGGGTTTCATCTAGGGCGGGGAAAGCAGGAACACTGGAAAACACGGTATCTTTAGATGTTGTGATCTTACAGGGTTTTTTCCATTACTTGTTCATTTTTAAGACTACAGAAAAATCTTTTCTGGGCAGGTCGAAGTCCCGCTGGACGAAGCGTGGCAGCGCTGGGGGAGGTGGCAACTGCCCGTGGTGCCTTGTCTTTGGATGGTGTCAGAGGAGCTCCTGAGGAGCCATTTGAGCTCTTTTAGGTTTGGAAGGTGTTTCAAATAGGTTGCTAGACTGGGTAACATCACATGTGAAAAATAGCATGGCTAATTGTATACTGGCAATGTGTGTGATTTTTAGCAGGATCTTAATTAAATGTTTACTGTTTGTCTTGAGGTTCATGGGTGCTGACGGGGTAAGTGTCAGGCTTTGACCCTTCTAGGCTGGTGTTCAAAGACTTAAGATATCTCCTTCCTGGTATTGTTCCTCATATTAATTTAGGTTGAGTTACCTTTTTAAAACTATTACTAGTAAAAGGGGAAATGCCTTTAAGGTGTCCTACTTAATCCTAAGGGCCATTGTCAAGGATAAAAAAACAGCATTCTAATTATTGAAAATAAAAACCTGCAAACTAGAACAGCCATCTTTCTATGGCTTTACCAAACTTTACCATCTTTCTAGCAGTCAGAAAATCATGTTATTTGAATGATGTATCTGAAAGTGAGCCTGTAGAGATGCTATCGGAGAGTTCAAAGTATAATCATCCTCAGTGACTTCTGAACCAAGATTATCTGTGCAGTGGAGAGAGGAGACTGAGTGGCAGAAGAATATTTATGAATAGTTGGTTGTTAAGTGTGTTGGTCCTTTATTTTTGTCCTTTCTTAAGCAGAATCATTCTTAAGCAATCCTCATTCTCTGTATTGCACAGGGAGCCTGTCCATGGATGCTTTTCTGCATTCTCTCTGCCGTCCTCTACACCATACTATTAAAAAACAATGACCATTCATTGAATCAGTTTTCCCTTCAACACACTATAAAAAAAATCATGCAATTTCCATTCCAGACCACCTCTGCTGTGGTCACTCACCCCTTTTACAGCACATTTCCTTGAGGTTCCTCCTGAATTACTTAGTCCCTCCAAGGCTTCTTATTTTTACATACTGTGTGATGTTTGACCACAGTGAGGACCTGGTTTGATAGCCATAGAGAACTACACAAAATAGTGAGGGCTTTCTCTGGTATCGTACTCCAGGGATTGTTTCTGTAGTGAGAGAGAAGCTTTTTCCGTGGGATTCTGGTTTTCCGCAGGACTACCTGCCCTGAGAATTTTGATGATCTTCGTTAATTACCCAAGATGAGTTTTTTCATTCATAAATATTCAGAATGAAGCTACAGAAGAGGACAATGTAACTAGCAACATGAAGTACAAAAAATCCAGGGTGTGTGACCCCTACCATTAAGTTGCAAAGTAGATTTTTTCAGTGCAAGACAGGAGATTTGAGAGCAGCAGAAAGAATACGATACAAACCTATTTGTCTTCTGAAAAGTTAGTCAGTAACTGATTACCATCAGAGAAAGCATTCTTCAGCACATTAATATTGGAAATGTCCATATATGAGAATATAATGAGATCATATGAATGTAGGCTTGCACAAAATCCAGCTGTTGAGATGTTCCCAAGATACCAGCAGCCAAAAAAAGCATACCAGTGAACAGGGATGTGAATTTTTGCCAGGAGGCAGTCTAGTGAAAGGGAGAGCAAACACAAGGATTAAGTCTATTTTGGGAGTGGGTTTATTTTGTACAGTCTTTCTGTATCTCATTCTTGGACTAGTCAAATGCTTGGCAATAGCAATGAATAAGTATAGAGTGATCCCACTGAGTGCACAGGGAGAAGGAACAGAATAAACTAAGGGCATGTGTCGGCAAAGGACATATGTGCTATGTGAAAAAGATCATATTGTTACTGGGTGTGAAATCCCTCGGCATGGGCTGTCAGAGGATAGAGCTGAGCATACACTTGGCAAAAATTGGAGTGCTCTGTACTGCAGTCCCTGGGGACTTTAAGTGAGACAGAGAGAAAACCAAGTGGAGATTACTTCAGGGAACAAAAACATGGTAGAAACCCCATCCTTGCAGGGAGAGGAAAGCTTCTTACACTAAAGAGAACGAAATGAAAGGGAATAACCTCTATCCTGGATTTAACACTGGTGGATGGTGAAATCAGTGAAATGTTTGTGTGTCCTGCCTACCTGCCCCTGGGAGAAGATTTGTGTTCATTAGGGACCGTGGAGATTCCTTGGGCTCTCATCACAAGTTTAATATCTGCTGGCTGCTCATGCTCAGAAGTTCTTGTTACTTGGAGGCTGTTGAGCACCTTATGTAAAATGATAGTTCATGATCCTTTTAGAAGAGGTCAATTATTTTTCCTCTCTTAATTTACTCAGTTTCTAGCTGCTGGGCTGAAGCAGCAGCTGGATAGATGTGGAAGCACAGTTTTGTTAGGTGGAGAGGTTGATTTCCGCAGAGTAGGTGTGCAGCTTGTGGACTGCTTCTAAGGGAAGCAGAAGCTTGCTCTGCAACCTCCACATCTGTTTGGGGAACAGATAAAAGGCCTCTTGCAGTGGTGATATGACCAGAGTGAAGTAGGCGCTGGCATTCAAAGTTTCTGATAGTTGTAACCCTCAGCATCACATCCCTGACAGAGTCCATTGAGCCTTCATGTCTCTGTGGTTTGTGGGGCAGCCTCGGTTGGTGTTATGGGTCTTGTGAGCTGCAGCCTTCAATGTATGAACACCTTCAGGTGCTGTGCCAGCGCAGTCACCTCTCCGGTCTGTTACATGTCAAATTGCACTAGTGTTTGTTATCTTGGTTTGGAAGGGACATCAAATTTTCATAAAGGCATAACCTTTGGCATTGTTTAAAAAAAATAATCACATGGCAGATGGTATAAGGTACTGTCAAGATCAGCTCTGTCTCTCGTTGTATCCTCCCTGGAGAAGTTAACAAACGTATGTGTCATGGAGCAGCCTCCTTCAAAACAATACATTTCGTACTACGCCTAAAGCCAGCAGTGAGTCAGCTACAGGAATTTACTCTCTTGTGTCATCTTGGTGCCAACACACCAGGCTGGATTCTATTTGCCAGCATTAGGTAAGCATCCCATGGCTTCAGGCTGGTTTGCATCTGTGGCTTCAGCTTCCTGAGCTGCGAGGAAAACGAATCAGGAAACTGAAGGGAAAGGTTGGCCACATGGAATATTAGTGAATGATGCTGTTTGTGTATTTAGCCATTTGTTAGATCTTTTCATTGAGAGATTTCATGCATTTTATGAAGCCTGGCCATACCTCAGAGACTTCTATGAAATGCAGTATGTGGTGTGTATGCCCATTTTAGAGGAAGGAAAACTTTGTCCTAACAAAGCTGGAGTGGCTATGTACCCAGCTAAATTAGTGACTCAGGAATAGACTCTTGACTCCCAGTCTTGTGTTGCACACATGGTGATCTGATAATGTGTGCTGTATTTTCTATTATAGAAGGCTGTGTCCCTTTGCTGTTGTAACTTTACGTCCACCCATTTGAGTCACATAAAAATGTGAAGCAGATCTGTGAGTCCATGGCAGATAATATTCTAGCAAATAATACTCATGGGGGAAGTACTTGATTATTCCCAAATTAGAATTACTCAGCTAGTGACTTTAGCAGATCAATATTGCAAACCACACCAATTTAATGAGATAATTACTTGAAACCGGACCAACATTTTCATTACGTGAAGGAGCAGCTAATATCTGAGAAGCTATTCATCTGTTGAATGGCACCTTGCTGAACACGAGTCATGACAAACAGCAGTAAAGCAGAGGTCTGTGTTACTTAACATCTGTGTACCTTTCTCCATCAGGAAATGTGTCAGCCGTGCATATAAAGCCTTTGAATGTAGGTAATGTTTACCATATGAGGGACTCGTGGAGATAACTAATGAAACAGAGAAACAGCTGGAAATAAATCCCATTTTGGATTACTAGTTGATCTCTTCTTCTTTCCTCTTAATTACCACAAGGTCACAGACAGATGCAAGGGAAAGAGTGACTTGCCAGAGAGAGAAGCCAAGCTAATCACTCCTCTGCCATTCCTCTGAAAATTTACAATACATGTATTATTTTACAGCCAATGTAGTAAAAATCCCAGGTTAAAGGCTCCTCCTAAAATATGTGTGTCAGAGGAAATACAATACTGTAGCAGGAAGGTAGTGGTTCCCTTGTTATTACAGCTCCCTCACATCTTTAGCTGCAATTTTTCTTCAAGCATGCTTCCCACACAGGCTTCTGGGCAGAGACTGAAGAAGAATGTATGAATTTTTTTTGTCCTGCTGCCTGCGTAGTTAATCACATGGTGGATCCTGTCCAACAAGATTCCCCAGCAGTACAGCTAGCCATTACTGTATGGTACTGGTTTCTCACCTCTTTAATTCCAGCTGCAAAACTGCATTAAAAGACAACTTAAATACTTTCATAATGCCACTGTTTAATGGGAGATTTTGTGGTCGTTGCCATCGGGAAATTGTGTAATCGTGAATGGGAAGAGAAGTGCCCGTGAAACAATTCCTATTAAAAGTTAATCCAAGGCATGAAAAACCTTGTGAGTCTATGAACAAATTAATAGATTAACAAGATTAGCATGCACCACAAGCTCTGGAGGCAGAGCATTAACTCACATTGTTAGAAAACAGATGTGGACTCTGGATTCTTGTCCTCCACCCCTTATTTTGAATTTTTTTCTAATGAGATCCTTGAAGTGTGATCAGTTCCACATGTTTTTAGGGGGAGGCTGATGTTGGTTACACCTGCGATTAGTTTGCTGCATCTGCATGGAGATTCCAGTTAGTGTTAAGGATGAGCAAGTAAGAGCAAAAAT